TTTTTTTTTTTTTGAGACAGAATCTTGTTCTGTCGCCCCAGCTAGAGAGCAGTGGCTTCATCATAGCTCGCTGCCAACCCAAATTTTTGGGCTCAAGCAATCCTCCTGCCTCAGTCTCCCAAGTAGCTGGGACTACAGGCACGCACCACCAAGCCTGGTTAATTTTTCTATTTTTTTGTAAAGATGGGGTCTTCCTCTTTCTCAGACTGGTCTCCAACTCTTGGCCTCAAATGATCCTCCCACTTCAGCCTCCCAGAGTGCTAGGATTACAGGCGTGAGCCACCTTGCGCCCGGCCTGTTTTGCTTTATTTTTAACAGCATTACTGAAGGACTATTGACATAATAAACATCACATAAAGTATACAATTGGATGAGTTTAACTTAACATACACCTGTGAAATCATCTCCATCCTCACGATAATAAACATTCATCAGCCACAAAGTTTCCTCCTGCCCCAGTGTAATCTCCCTCCATCTGCCCCTCCCTCCGTACCCAGGCATCCACTGGTGTCTTTCCAGGAACCATCGACTAATGTACATTTTCTAGAATTTTATATAAATGGAATCACATGGTATGCACTCGTTACTGCCTGCCTTCTTTCGCTCAGCATAATTATTTTGAGATTCACCCATGTTGTCGTATTATATATATTAACAATATATTTTATTATTGAGTAGAATTCCACTGTATGGATATGCCAATTTTTTTTATGCATTCACCTATTGTTGGGCATTTGGGTTGTTTCCAATTTGGGGCTATAACGAATAAGGTTCTTGTGACCATCCGTGGACAAACCTTTGTATAGACATACACTTATTTCTCTTGGGTAAATACCTAGAAATGAAATGGCTGGGTCTTGTGACAGGTACATGTTTAACATGTAAGAAACTACTGAACTCTTTCCCAGAGAGGTTATATGTTGTACCTTCCCACCAGCAGTGTGGGAGAGTTCTAGTTGCTCCCAGGGTGTCTGGGTTTGGTGGGCAGGGGAGAAGGCACAGGGAGGGGACTTGGGCCTCTTTGTCCTCCACTACCAACCACTGTGGTGACTTGTCCTGCGTTGTGAGTGCCTGGAGAGAGGGGCTGAGTTCAGGAGACTCTCCGTGCAGTGCCCGCTCAGCCGGACTTTGATAAAGACAGTTTACGAGAACTGTGGAGTGTGGGGGTGTAAGATCTTGTCCCCTGAACCACCCAAGAAGGCTACGCAAGTGGCATGTCATTCACTGGGCACCGAATTGTGGTGCTTCTGAGAATACTGTTTCAGAAGAAGTGTGCGCCCCCCTCTACGACAGACAATTAGCTGCCCTGCCCAGGCTCTAGGGCACAATTTGTGGGCCCAGACATGCATTCACACTGCCCCCATCTGCTCTGCCTTACAGGCACTGCCAGAGCCCCTGCAGGGATTGGGCAACCCTGTGGCTCTAACCAGAGCCCGTGGATGGCCTCTTGGGGTCAGGGCCACGCAGAGTTGCATCCCATTGCCTTTGCATGGACCGAGGGTTTTGCAACAGCAGTTTCTGCCCTGGAGAGCTGGCGAGAATTTCTCCTTAGCAAACGCAGTAACAAGGTTGGGGGAAGGAATGAGGGGCTCTCGGAGTAATCAGGGCAATGGAGTCGCCCCTAGCCTGAAGGGCAGGAGTCCCTTCCTGGCGAGAAGATTTACCCACATACTTTAATGAGGGCAGTGTTCTCGTTATAGCTGAAGAGCTCATAGTCTATTCTAGCAGGAATTCCAGCATGGAGTTCAGGCCTTCCTGACGAACTGAGTGGGGAGGGCACAATAGAAGCCTATTTTCAAAGAGGAAGCAGGGTGCTCCCGGAAGAGCACTCATCAGAAGGGAATCCGGGGCCAGGAATGAGGGAGCTTGACCTCCTCCTGCTGTCCAGAGAAAGGACGGGTAATGCTAAGGATCAGCCTCTAGTTCAACATTGTCCCCAAAGAGTCCCCACCAAGTTCAATGGAGAGCAGAAAATCTCTACAAAGAAATCAGAAAATTTAGATTTTGGAAACCTTATAGCAGAGAGATCTGCAAAGGTCACCGTAGACAACCCAGGGCCTGGCACTGCAAGGGCACCCGTCCTTCAGCAATGACTCCAGGGTACATGTCAGCAACAGCAGATCCCAGAGATGCACAGGGGAGACGTCCCCAACAGACTGCCCCCAAATCCCTGAGGAGCACTACACAGGGCTGAAGTCCTGCATGAGCAATGGGGTCTGAGCCAGTGCAACCTGGGTTGTTGCTATTGATGTCCCTTCATTTGTGCTCACAGGCTGAGGATTCCCTGGGAAATTGGGGCAACATAATTATTACTTTAAATTAAATGTCACTGGGATGCTCCAACATACATCAGTTTCCCCTAGTTGTCAATTCATTGACTGCTCAACAAAAACGTACTAAGTATCTTTGATATGATGAACACTGATGGGTTTGGGGCTATCGAGATAAACACATATACATGTTTATATATATATAAATGGGTGATCAAATTCACATTTTAGAAAGATTGTTCTGGCGGCAGAGTGGAGGGGGGATTGAAGGGGAAAAGACTTGAGGCAGAAATCATTTAGGAGAGGAGGAGGAGGAGGGGTTGAGGAGGAAGAAGAAGGGGAGGAGACAGAGGAGGAGAAGGAGGAGGAGCAGGTAACAGTGCCAAGACTCATTCTAAGTGCTTTATAAATACAGACTCATTTAATCCACATAACAACCTTGTGCAGTGGGTGCTCTCATTATATCCATTTTACAGATGAAGAAACTGAGACCCAGTGAGAGTAAATCATTTGCCCAAAGTCTGGGATGAGGAAATGGATCCTAACTCAGACAGCCCAGCTCCAGAACCCACAACAATTGCGTGACTATTACTGTAGTCGTGGCACGAGCGAATGAAGTGTTGCCTAATGCCATCCATGAAGATGGGGAGGAGGAAACAGTCAGGAGCCATGCTGAGGAGAGCAAGAGCGAGGCCGTGTGAGGGGTGGGCACGCCTCTGGCTTGGCAGAGGAGTGCATGGGGAAACCCTTAGCAGGAGAAGGACGTGCATCAGGAAAGCAACGAGAGGGGTTTTCTACATGTTGAGTCTGCAGCATCTATGGGCCCTGGGGGAGATGCAGCAGGTAATTGCGTATGAGTCTGCAGCTCAGGAGAGAAGCTGGCTGGGAACAAGAGGTGTGGGAACCCCAGAGCATGTTGGGGGGCAGCTGACGCCATGGAAGCGGGTGGACTCATCTAAGGAGAGCAGGTAGAGTGAGAAGAGAAGAGGACCAAGATAAAACTTTGAGGAACATCATATTTGAGGAATGAATTGAGAAATAAAGCAACAAAACAGACCAAGAGAAATGGGGGGAAATAAGAAAAGAATGGGTCAGTGGGATTCAATGAGGTAGAGACCAAGCGAGGTGAGACCTGAATGGTAACCATTTCACATGGATAGTTAAAAAGCATACAGCAGGCTGGGAGAAAATATGTTAACATCATTCACAAATATTTAAAATGTAATACTCCCAAATTATATAAAGAGCTCCTACAAATCAATGACAAAACGACAATCCAATGCAAAAGGGAAACAGGTAAGAATTAGTAATTCACAGGAGAAAAATACAAATAGCTACAGCCAGATACTCAACATGACCAGCAATGAAGAAAATACAAATTAAACAATGGGGTATCGTTTCCTGGTATCAGATTGGGAAAGAAATTGATCATATACAGTGTTTGTAGTGAATACACAGAGTAATAGGCCTTTCATAAACTCATGATAGGAAAGTAAATTGGCACAGTCTTTTTGAAGGGCAATTTAGCAGTGTTTATCAAAATTTAGATATACACAGATATTACCTAAAAAAAATTACACTTAAGCTGCAGAAACATTCATACAAATTCCCAAATACCTATATCCGAAGATGTTCACATATTCATCTATAAGGTAATTGTCAAATAAACCATGATACATCCACGCTGTGGACTATTATGTAGTCGCTGAAAAGAAGAAGATGGATCTACATGGACTCATGTAGAAAATGTCTGCGATGCATGGTTAGCGTTCAGGACAGTATCACTAGCAAAAATGGCTTTTTCATTAAGGAAAGAAGGAAGGAAAATGTGTTTGCATTTGCATGGGGAAGAATCTGGAAAAATGTACACACCAAGCTGTAGACAGTAGTTACCTTGGGGACAGATGTGGGTGAAGAGAGGAAAGGAAGGGAGACTTTCAAGTTTTACTTCACGTGTTTTGTACCACTTGCATTCTTTACGATATCCGTGCTTTGTTTTTATAATATTAAAGCAGTTTTATTTAAGAAAAGAGCGTACTGGGTTTAGCAACCCAGAGGTCGTTGGGAACCTTGGCACAGCCGTTTCAGTGGTGCGGTAGGAAGGAAGCCAGTTGCAGGGTCTTTGCTGAGCAGCGCAGGGGAGGTGAGGAAGTGGAGAGAGCAACCGCTAAATACCCTTTCAATGAGTTTGCCGGCGAAAGGAGAACACAGCAGAGTAGCCGCTGAAGGGTCCTAGGACTGAGGGAAGGCGATAAAGACATAAGCAAGGTCGGGGCGGAGGGGAAAGAGCCCATTGAGGGACAGAGGAGAAGAAAGGCAGGATCCTCAAGGACAAGAGAGGCAGCGGGTCCCACAGCCAGGAGGGATGCTTCTCACCCTGACCCTGGAAGGAAGGAAGAAACTGTGCGTGCAAGTGCAGGCCAGTCTGTCGGCGGGGGGCTAGGATGCCTGCTTCTCCCTTGTTAATAAAAGAGGTACACGTTCAAAACGCTCGGAGTCAGAAGGTGGATAGGCAAACCTCCACCTTCTGACTAGCAGGCTCCTCTGGAAGCCATTAGACGGAAGGCGTGAAAGCCCCAGAGCTCATCCCAGAGTCATCAGGTGGGACCTTGGCTTGGGGTCAGAGTCCCAGGACAGACCTCGTTGTTCCTCTGAGGGAACACCTCCCCCTGGATTTCCCTCTCACAGCCCGGGTAGAAGTTTCGACACGTCTGCTTCACTTTTTTCCTGCCGAAGAGCTCTGACCACCACCAAGCCTTGGGTCACAGCGTGGATAGCAGCAGCCACGCTAATCACAACAGCAGCTGTAGCAGCCACAGCAGGTAGGTGAGCTGTTCAGTCTGAGAGACTGGAGACATATTTCTGATGGAAGGGACCTGGAAACTTCAGCCTCCGCTGAGGCTTCTGAGAACGGGGGTGAAAATTGCAGAACCTCAAAGCTGAAGGCAACTCCATTTTTCACCTAGACAGTGCTGTACAAAAGGACTCTGCAATAATGGAAATGTTCCAGATCTGCACTGCCCAATATGGTAACCACTAGTCACAGGTAGCTCCTGAGCACTTGAAATGTGGCTAGTGTGACTGAAGAATCGAATTCTTATTTTATTTTAAGTAATTTAAATGTAAATAGCTACTTGTGGCTAGTAGCTACCATTCTGAACAGGACAGACTTAGAACAAGCTCCTTGTTTTCCAAAGGAGCATGCCAAGGCCCAGAGAGAAATAGTTTGTTCAAGCTCACCCTGACCATCAACAGCAGAGCCAGAATTGAAAGTCAGTTTTGGTGGGTTCGTTTGTTTGTTTGTTTGTTTGTTTGTTAGTTTTCTGGGAGACAGAGTCTCGCTCTGTCACCTGGGCTAGAGTGCCGTGGCATCAGCCTAGCTCACAGCAACCTCAAACTCCTGGGCTCAAACAATCCTGCCTAAGCCTCCCAAGTATCTGGGATTACAGGCTCTCACCACCGCGCCCAGCTAATTTTTCTATTTTTTTAGTAGAGACAGGGTCTCACTCTCGCTTAGACTGGTCTCAAACTTCTGAACTTAAGTGATCCTCTCTCCTTGGCCTCCCAGAGTACTAGGATTACAGACGTGAGCCACTCCGCCCAGCCTGGAAGCCAGTTTTGTATTCCCTCCACCACACACATGCATGCAATGGGTTCCGTGGAAATTAAATAAACATAATAAACATCAAGAATTGGGCCCACTGGGAAATGTCAAACCTGGGTCCCCCTCTCTCTGCAGCCTTTGTCTCTGGCTGTCAGGGACAGAGAGGTGCCTAACGGAGCTCTGAAACCTGAGGCTGGCATCCAGCTCCTTGTTACAGTGGACAGAAGGTAGAATTTTGAGAGTAGATTTTTCTAAAAGTTTTTAAAACTTCTTAAAACTTAGTTGAGCTGCGTCACCATAGGTAAGTTGCTTAACCTCTCAGAGTCTTCGTTTCCTCATCCAGAAAGTGCCTACTTCATGGGGTCGACATGAGGATTAATTGATACAAATTCCAAAAAGCACTTTGCCCAGAAATTAGAACCTAGTAAGCACTCAACACTACAGCTAGTATGATGATTGTTGTCCAGGTCAAAGCGAAGTAGGATGTACATCCAAGTCAGTCCTGAGAGCACACTTGCTGCTTTCCCTTGATTGTGGGCGCAGTGGGCCATACCATGTCATCGGGTGATAAACTATTCTAATAATAATGATCACAACGATAAAAGCTAGCAACATGCTCTATGTGTGTCCTAAGCTCTTTATGGGTAATCCCTCATTTCGTCCTCACCACAACCCAGTGAGTTGGATTCTGTTATTGACCCCATTTTACAGATGAACAAACTAAAACTCAGAAAGGAAAAGTCCTTGCCCGAAGTTGCTCAACTAGCTCTGCTCTCATCTGCCTGAGTGTGTAATGAGCCTCTGTGTGGTTTTAGCATCAACTGTCCGGGTGGCCTTGCATTCTTCCCCAGCATGCGAAAGAGAGGTAACAAATACTGAGGAACAATTGCTGAACAGTTGGACTCAGAAGTTCTCCCCTTGGGGTGGGGAGACAGGTTAAGTGCATCTGCCACAGGCTTCGAGTGCTCTCTGGGCCCTGGGATGCGCGGAGCAAGAGATAGTGTAAGTGGTGGAGGAGACTGAGGCATTGATCACTGGGGTGGGGGGTTGGGGGAGGTGAATTAGTGTTCATGGCTCTACTTGTAATAATCCTCTCATTTGTAATCAAGAGCAAATGTGGGCCAGGCGCGGTGGCTCAAGCCTGTAATCCTAGCTCTCTGGGAGGCCGAGGCGGGCGGATTGTTTGAGCTCAGGAGTTCAAAACCAGCCTGAGCAAGAGCGAGAGCCCGTCTCTACTAAAAATAGAAAGAAATTAATCGGACAACTAAAAATATATAGAAAAAATTAGCCGGGCATGGTGGCGCATGCCTGTAGTCCCAGCTACTCGGGAGGCTGAGGCAGTAGGATCGCTTGAGCCCAGGAGTTTGAGGTTGCTGTGAGCTAGGCTGACGCCACGGCACTCTAGCCCAGGCAACACAGTGAGATTCTGTCTCAAAAAAAAAAAAGAGCAAATGTGACACTTTTAGAGTCACTCAATACTGTTTTTAAAAATGTGTTTGGACTTGGGTGGGATCTTCACTTTTTGCAAAAGTTTTTCTTGCTAAATTAGAGGGTCTTGGCTCCATGGGTTGTAGCTGCTACAGTAATGGAGTCCTCAGACCCGATGCCAAGTGTATAAGCCAAGAAAGAGCAACAAGGCCTTAAGATGGGCTTGTGCTCAGAGCAGGTGGTCGGGGAGTGAGGTGGAAGACAAGAAATGTAGGAATGGCGTGCGGGGGGGAGGTGTGGGGCAGATAGAGATGAGAGGCATTAGGTCCAGGGAAGAAAGCTACCAGGCCACCAGCAGCGTAAGTTCCAGCTCTTTTCTTGCGGTGAGCTGCTACCTTGCCACATGAAAGCCATTCAGGAGCCGCAGTGCTATAGAACAGTAAGGCAGGGAAGCCTGAGGCAGCTGGAGCGTGGCGAGACTCAGACAGGGTGGCCGGAGGTACAGGGGCTGTGAGATCACAGCAAAAATGAGAGGAGTCCGTGTGGCAATCCACTTCCTTTGGGCCTCAGTTTCCTCATCTGTGAAATGTAAAGACTGGCTAGAAAACCCCAGAGGTCCCTTCCCAATATAAACTCTAGGAGTCCATAAAATGACTACGCATCCAAGAGCTGACCTGGGAATTAATTATTCAAAGTCATCAAAAGCATCCTGCACCCTAAGGAGCTCCACCCCTGAATTGAGTAATCTAATCCACCACTCACTTCCTCCACCGTGCTCTCACCACCACTCCCTTTCATTGGTCACAGCTGCCCTCCTGGAGGTGTCCCACAGGTGAAAAACCCAGCATCTTGGTAAGTCTTGGAACACCCACCCTTCCCACCACCTAGTATGTGTCTGTTGTCTGTTCCCCTGGGCACCCAGCCTGCACTTATCCCAGGCAGCTGTCCCCACCCTTGGTGGGCCCCTCACCCCTCGTCCCTTCATTCTCTTGCTTTAGGCCTCCCTGTCCCCAAAGGGAGACCCTCTGCCCCTCCTCCCCACAGCCCTCTGCAACAACCACTCCGGACAGCTTGCTGCCCACCCGCTTCCCTTGGCCCCAGACTCAGCCAGCCCCTGAGACTCAGCCAGCCCTCCTTGCTTGGGCTGGGATCGGGTCTGAGGAGGAGCCACACACTGTTGACTCCCCACTCCCTACACTAAACGCAAATATTTGGGGATTGTATGTATAAAGAGAAGGAATACTGGAATTGTATTAAAATGACTGAATTTTTTATTGTTGTTAAAAAGATTGCCTTAAATATTTGGGATCTTGTAAATGCCCCTCTCTTTATAGTATTTTAAATGTGATAAGATAGATTCATCCCACCCATGGAGTTTCTGAGCTACCACGAGTCACTCAGGGGCTGGCATTTTTCCCGTGTCAAGGAAGCTCCCACTTTGTCTCATGACTGACTACATGGCTGAGTGGGCAATAGGAGCCAGTTCAACGGTGATTGGTTTATCATTCCGGCAAGAGCTATTTCTTTCATCCTGGGCCTCAGACAGCTAAAGAAAATGCACGGAGCATCGAACATGAGTGCACTATATACAGGCTGACTTGGTATCTCAAAAACTCAGCTTACAATTATATTTAATATATGAGACGTGGTTTGTTTGGTTTTTTTTTAAGAAGCAGGGCTATAGACTTAAAATAATACAAGTGGAGCCCTTTACACCAAGTTGGAATCCTGGCTGCACCAATTATTGGCCCTGTAATCACAGGCTGGTTGCTAAACAGAGCTAATCATGTCTATCGGCAATGAGCAAAGGAGATCATGTAGCTGTGAGGCACAGATGGAACTCAGATGTGTCATCTCCCTTCCCTTCTTAGTTTGTCCTCTCTATAGATTGATAAATTTAAAAACTGAGGCCAGGCACAGTGGCTCATGCCTGTAATCCTAGCACTCTGGGAGGCCAAGGAGGGAAGATCGCTTGAGCTCAGGAGTTCGAGACCAGCCTGAGCAAGAGCGAGACCCTATCTCTACTAAAAATAGAAAAACTTAGCCGGACATGGTGGCTACTCGGGAGGCTGAGGCAGGAGGATCGCTTGAGCCCAGGAGTTTGAGGTTGCTGTGAGCTAGACTGATGCCACGGCACTCACTCTAGCCCAGGCAACAGGGTGAGACTCTGTCTCAAGAAAAAAAAAAATGAACAAACACCAACAATGAACATCCCTACCCTTGCCCCAGGGACTGGGGATCATTGGTCTGTCCTGGTTCTCTTTTCTTTCTCTACCTTCTGTCCTGGCATGTGTATTCTCCCTCTGGAAACTCAGCTGCCCCCCGATGCCTGGGGGCATGAGCTCACCTGGACACCTCCAGCCCACCCCAGCACAGCCGAGCACGGGGTTATCCAGAATGAGGATTGTCCCATGAAACATGCTCTGCTGCGGCTGCCTGTGCTGATAAGGCAGTTTCTGCGGCGGCCCCCGCCCTGTCTTCTCACAGCCTGTGCTCACACATGCCAGGTTCTGCTCTCTACGGGCACAAGTTCTCTGCCCGCACCAGGCCCTGCATCTGCTCTCAAAGGTGGGTCTTCTCTCAGGTCATTGTTCCCTTAAGAGCATCGGCTCTCAGAGGTGACCCACCCTTGAGCTCATGACTTCACTGGACATAAATCCCGGGCCTCTGAACAAACTTGATCTTAAACTTAGGACTGCAGAGCCAGCGACTTCTTTCAGCTCTTACCAACCACACTGGCCAGGCCAGCTGTACTACCTGGCTCTCACACCCCCTCCCGGGCTCCTGGCCAGGCAGGGCCCCACCCTCATCACCACATCTCTCTAGCTTCACCAACTGATCGAATCTTCTCTACCTGTGTTCTTGGTATGGTGGGAGAGTAATTTATCTGGCCTCCATCACTCTGGGGAGAAAGTAGCACCTTCTCAGGAAGGTGAAGGCTAAGAATTCTATCACTCTTGGAGGAAAGGGGCATTATTTTCCCAGTTTCTCTTAATCCTTTTCAGCTTTGCTCTTTGCTGGATGTGATTGACATAACAGAGACTGCCTTCTGCTAAAGAGAAAACCTTCATTGGGCTTTTATTGTTGTTTTAATATTTGTATTTGCTTTGCAAGGCTGTGCATCCTTTGGTTAATCTTTTTTTTAATTATGACATAAGTCCCACACCACAGAAGTTATCCATTGAAAGTGTATAATTCAGTGGTTTTTAGTATATTGTACAACCGTAGCCACTAATTCCAGAACACTTTCATCAACTCAAAGGGAAACCCTGTGCTTATTAACCTTCCTCCCTCTCTCCAGCCCCTGGTAACCACTAACCTACTTTCTGTCTCTACCAATTCGCCTATTCTGGTCATTTCATATACATGGATGAAGACTCTTGTGTCCTCCTTTTTCACTTAGAATAACGTTTTCAAGGTCCATCTATGCGATATTGTGTATCAGTACCTCATTCTTTCTTATGGCTGAATAATATTCCATTCTATGTAAACACAGTCGTGTGTTGCTAAACAATGGGGATACATTCCAAGAAATGTGTCGAAATTAAGCAATTTTGTTGTTGTGCAAGCATCATAGAACATACTTAGAACGTAGATGTGTAGTACAGCCTACTGCACACCTAGGCTGTGTGGTACGGCCTATTGCTCCTAGGCTACAAACCTGTACAGTATGTTACTGTCCTGAATACTACAGGCGACTGTAACACAATGGTAAGTGTTCATGTATCTAAACGTATCTAATCATAGAAAAGGTAGAGCAGAACTACAGTATTATAATCTTATGAGACCACTGTCATATATTCAGTCTATCATTGACCAAAACCTCATTATGCTGCACATGACTGTACCTCAATTTTTTGATCTACTCATCAGTGGATAGACATTTGGGTTGTTTCTACTTTCTAAAAAGTGGGAATGGTCATCGTATTATGATGAATGCTGCTATGAACATTCATGTAAAAGTTTTTGCACGGACATACATTTTCATTCCTCTTGGGTAGATATTTAGGGTGGGAATTGCAGGATCATCTAGTACCTCTGTGTTTAAATGTTTTAAGCAATTGCCAAACTATTTTCCACAGCAGCTACACCATTTTACATTTCCACCAGCAACGTATTAGGGTTCCAATTTCTTCACATCTTCACCAACATTGTTCTCATCCATCGTGTTTTCAGTATGCACAGCTGGTGACTGTGAAGCGGTTCCTGGGACTGATTACTTCTGTTTCTGCTCTAACACTGGGGTCTACATGGCAATAGTATAGTCACACTTTGCTCTAAAGAAATGTAAGGGGATCCATTTTGTGGACAAATTCAGGAGCTGGTTTTACTTTAGTTTAATCTTTGAGACACTGGGATGATGTTTTCTAGTGGCTGTAGCCAGCCCTCTACACCCAGGCATGTGCTGAACAGAATCTCTGCTGTCCCTGTAGCAACGACAGAGCCTGTGGACATAGACTAAGTCTGCGGGGACAGGGGAGTCGGGGTGGATGAAGGCAGGCACATGCAGGACAGGAGGGTCCCCAGCAGGACCGGAAAGCCACCAAACAAGGGTAGTGTGTGTCCTGTCTTCCCTGCTTCCTGCTGCCCCTCCCCTTGTTTGGGGAGCAGACTGGCTGTCTCTGCTCACCCCACATGGCAGAACATGGCTGCCCACAGCTGCCCAAATAATCTGTTACATTTCCACCCATTTGGAGAATCAGTCAGTCACTTGCGTATCATCTATAATACACTTTTTGGAAGTACACAAACACTCCCAGATCAGGCCTCCTTCTTCCCAGAAGAGAACCACTGGACCTTGTTAACTGACTAAAGATGCTTCTAGCTCGAGCCTTCAGAAACCTCATGCTGCTATCGCTCAAACCTTTCTGCAGAATACTTCCTTTAATAACTTTCAGAAAGTTGCACAAAAGGATTCATCCCTCATATTTATAGACAAATCGTGACCTTTCTCTATGGGGTACAAGTCAATTGGATTGCATGCTTAATCCACAGAGTAAGAACTAAATGGCATCTCACATTTCTGGGCATTAAATGTAGCCTCGACAGCCAAAGATGCTCACAACTGAAGGATGCAAGCAGGACCCAGTGTTCTGTAGGGATTATCTGAAGGGAACTTTCTACAAAGTCTTGCATGATGACCATGTCAAAGAAAATGCTAAGAATCTCTCTCTGATACAGAAGAGAACTATAGTATTGTCCTAAAGTTTACCTTTTATCACTAAACTTGTCTCATAACATTAGTGCCTCTACCACTTACACATTTGAAGTGAAAGTTACTTTCATGTGGTATACTAGCCAACACAAGTTATCCTATCCCAGTTTCTTGGGTGGACGGGAAAGATTCTGGGCAGGATTTATTGTGCAATCACTCTCATCTCTCTTCTCTAGGCCAGGATTTAAATTTGCCTCAACAATGGAAGATGATAACTGGAAGGACTTCAACTTTGACGATTTCTTCGATGGAGATTTTAGTAATTACAGTTACAGCACTGACCTGCCCTCTATTCTACCAGATTCTGCCCCATGCCGGCCAGAATCCCTGGAAATCAACAAGCATGCCGTGGTCGTCATCTATGCCCTGGTGTTCCTGCTCAGCCTGCTGGGAAACTCCCTGGTGATGCTGGTCATCTTGTACAGCCGCGTCAGCCGCTCCGTCACCGACGTCTACCTGCTGAACCTGGCCATGGCCGACCTGCTCTTCGCCCTGACCTTGCCCATCTGGGCCGCTTCCAGGGTGAATGGCTGGATTTTTGGCACAGCCCTGTGCAAGCTGGTGTCGCTCCTGAAGGAAGTCAACTTCTACAGTGGAATTCTCCTGCTGGCCTGCATCAGCATGGACCGCTACATGGCCATTGTCCATGCCACACGTGCTCTGACCCAGAAGCGCCACTTGGTCAAGTTCATATGTCTGGGCATGTGGGCCCTGTCCCTGTGTCTGTCTCTCCCCATCATAATATTCCGAAAGGCCTTCTACCCGCCCGCCTCCAGTCCAGTCTGCTATGAGGACATGGGCAACAGTACAGCCACGTGGCGGATGGTGCTTCGAATCCTGCCCCAGACCTTCGGCTTTGTCCTGCCGCTGCTGGTCATGCTGTTCTGCTACGGATTCACCCTGCGCACGCTACTTAAGGCCCACATGGGGCAGAAACACCGGGCCATGCGGGTCATCTTTGCTGTCGTCCTCATCTTCCTGCTCTGCTGGCTGCCCTACCACCTGGTCCTGCTCGCAGACACCCTCATGAGGACACAGGTGATCTCAGAGACCTGTGAGCGCCGCAAGGACATTGATCGGGCCCTGGAAGCCACCGAGATTCTGGGCTTCCTCCACAGCTGCCTCAACCCCGTCATCTATGCCTTCATTGGCCAAAAGTTTCGCCATGGACTCCTCAAGATCCTGGCCACTCGTGGTCTGATAAGCAAGGAGTTCTTGCCCAAGGACAGCAGGCCTTCCTTTGCTGGCTCTTCTTCAGGGAACACGTCCACTACCCTCTGACACTCCTGCCTCAGTGCAGCCCCTCGGGGTTCCTCCCTTCCCCCCAGCATCCCATTCCAAGCTCACGTCCACTGGCTCTTCATGGTGTGATTGTCACTGTGGCCCTCCATTGTGGCTGCAGGAAGGGGCAGAGGCCACGTCCTTACCAGGCGCCCACTGCGTGGTTTAGAAAACCTACCATGGTGCCCACCCCCCTGCCATCATCACTAGGCCAACGCTGGGGCTCTGTCCATCCTGCCACTGGCCGCAGCCTGCTGCTTTGCAAGAAGTGCAAATCAAAACCCCAGTGAGATGCCATGTCACACTCATTAGGATGGCTCTTATCAAAAGAAAAAAAAGCATGAAATCGCAAGTGTAGAGAAATGGAACCCTTGTCCATAGCTAGTAGGAATGTAAAATGATGCGGTCGCTCTGGGAAAGAGTACAGCAGCTTTCCTCAAAACGTTAACCGTAGAGTTACCACAGGATCCAGCAATTCCACTTCTAGGACTATACCCACAAGAATTTAAAGCAAGGACTGGAACAGATATTTGTATATGCATGTTCATAGCAGCATTATTCACAAGAGCCAAAAGGTGGAAATAACTCAAGGTGGTCATCAGTGAATGAATGGATAAACAAAATGTGCCATATACCTACAATGAAACATCATTCAAGAAAAATAAGAGGATATGAACGATATGCCTAGAAGGCTGAGGCAAAGGTTGAATTGCACTTATGGGAACTCTGTTATATTTATCCCTATCTCTTCCAATCTCTGTCTTTCCCTCTCTCTCTCTCAAAAGAGAATGAATCATTGATGCATGTTACGACGTGGATGAACCTTGAAAACATTATGCTAAGTGAAATAAACCAGACATAAATGGAAAAATATCTTATGATTCTGCTCATAAGAGGTACTTAAAATAGTCACATTCACAGAGACAGAAAGTGGAATAGTGTTTCCCAGGGGATGGAGTCAGGGGAAAGTGAGGAATTATTGTTTAAAGGGTACAGAGTTTATGTTTTGGATGATGAAAAAGTTCTGAATATGAAGAGTCGTGATAGTTATACAACGTAGTGAAAGTACTTAATGGCAGTAAACCATACCATTAAAAATCATTAACTTGGTAAAGTTTGTAATATAGATTTTTTATCTCAATTAAAAAAAAAATCTGGGCCTCAAAAGGGACTTTAACCACTGAACCAATGCAAAAACCATCTACCTATAATTTTATGTTAAGCGAGATCATTAAATACCTTTTTTTGTATAAACCACATTTAGTTGAGTGTTTATTTTACTATTAAATACTTCCAAACAAAAGCATCCAAACTGATATAGAGAGGTGGGACAAGACTGAGCAGAGGGCCTGGGTGAGGGGCGTTACAGGAAGCAGCCCCTCTGCTATGTGTTGTGTCCATAGAAAAGGATTGGAACTGCGGTGGGGCCCAGCCTGCCCAGCCCCATCCCCAGCCCACACCTCCTGCTGTGGACCAGGTGTCATGGAAAGAGATGTGTTCTGGGATCATCTAGGGTGTGTCATGTCTGTGGGTGAAACAGTCGTCAGGAGTGTCTAGGATGGGATGTAGAAGGCGCAGAGGGTTCAGGGAATCCACCCAATCAGCCTGATCAGGGAGCAAGAGGACAGAGAGCTCTCCTGAGCTCAACCAGCAGCTCACACCATAGTCTCCCTCCCTCTCTCCTCCCCACCCAAACACACCCTCCCCCTCCAGTCAGGGTTGGATGAGAGGACCCAAGTGCAGGTGGGAACATGGTTTATAACCTGTCACTCTGAGAAAACACAGGATTAGAATTATCCCTGCAACATTTATTGCCTGCCAACTGTTCCGGGGGCTGGGATGTAGCAACCACCGCAACAGACTGGAGCTCACCTGCCAGGGCTTGTCCTGGAGGGGCTCTGTCGGGAGGGGCTCTGAGCAGCCTGCAAAGGAAGAAAGCAAGAGGAATTGAGCTTCCACAGTGACCAAACCTCCCCCTCAGCCTGACAACTGCCTGCCCACTGGATCTAGCCCTAGCAGGGAGGCAGGAGCAAAGCTCTGCACTGAGGGCCCCAGGGCAGGGAACGTCACTCCTGGGCCAGAGAGTGCACTTCCTATCGTATCAGCAGCCAGGACCAAGCCAGCACCAGCACGCCCTGTGTGCTGCTCACTCTGTGCCAGGCACTGTGCTAAAGTCAGGATCACGTGTGATTCAGCCGCTCCGGCCGAGCCTTCGGAACAGCTTCTGAGTCAGCGGGAGGGAAATGCAGGGAAGTGTGTTTAGCAAACACCGCAGTTGCCAGAGGACCCCTGGTGTCCTGCACGGCCAAGGTGGAGGGACGGGCCACATGCCTCCCTGCGATGACGCTCAGAGGGAGGAGGCCTAAGCCTCGCTCTGGTTCAGGTCTCTGCTCCTTCCTCCTCTCACAAGGGCTGGAGGAAACATGGTTCTCCAAGAAAAGTAGGAGGATGTGGACGAAAAGCCGAGAAGAAATGAGGCAGAGATGAATCCCACTGATGTAACTCT